AACTGAGCAATCACTGACTGGGATTTTAATTTGTTATACTATATTGACAAAGGTACAAACTAGGGCTGTACCGAATATTCGCTTCGGGGCCGAATAGTAGACCTAATAACTATTCGGTATTCGGCCGAATAGTTGCGGTCGGACTGAATATGAATAGTGGTTACCTTGCACCCATTTCTGGACTGGTGGAAAATGAACATATCAAAATTTCCCACCTTGGTTCATACTGTCAAGCGATATCTTTGTGCACCACCTAAGAGCGTACCAAGTGAACGTCTGTTTAGTACAGCTGGAAATACCTTCAGTAAGACAAGAAGCTGCCCTAATGCAGACAACATGAAAGATTTTTTTTTTTTTTTAAAGCTAATGTTGCTTTCATGGATTAACTAAGCTGTCAGTGACAATTTACAAGTTTAGTTACTTTTTTTATAAAACTAAGAATACTTTCATTCCTATGTATGTTACCACTGACTGACCGACTGAAGGATGCAAAACATGAACTGTTTTTAAATGTTTACTATTCTGTACTACATTTTGTGAAGTAAAATTTTAGCCTAAATTTGACATCATGGATGTTTTCTTTAAAGATCTATTTTATACACTATACGAAAGTGGAAGAAAGGGCCTCAATTTGAATAGTGGGAAGACAGAAGTAATGGTGGTATCAAAGAAGATAATTATTCCAAAATGTGTAATAAAAGTCAATGGTTTTATTTTGGGACAAGTACAAAAATTTAAGGATCTGGGCACATGGATAACATCAGATGGAAGATGCATAACTTAGATAAGAAACAGAATAAGACAGGCAAAAACTGCATTTTATAAAACGAACGTCTTATGCAATATATCTTTATCATTGAAGGTTAGAAAAAGAATTCGCGCTTGCTACATACATCCAGTTTTAACATATGGCTGTGAGTCCTGGACAATCGGTAGGCAGGCGAAACAATTTCTTGAGGCCTCAGAGATGTGGTTTTACAGAACAATGCTTAAAATACCCTGGACAGAAAAAAAAGGCAACCAAGAGTTTTGGAAGAGGAGGGAGCCCCAAGACAACTACTCACAGACATTAGAAGGAGACAGTCATCATTTTTCGGCCATGTTATGAGAAGAGGGAAAATAGAACATGTTGTGACCACTGGAAAGATCTGTGGAAGAAAGGATAGAGGAAGACAACGAGAGAAGATGCTTGACAGTCTTGTTGCATGGCATGGAGGTGTGTCTGCACACAAACTGATACATGCTGCAGGAGATCGCAGATTGTGGCGAGGCATAATCGCCTATACCAGTCGGCAAAGCACCTGATGATGATGATTCACTATTCGTATTCGGCCGAATAGTGAAAATCACTATTTGGTACAGCCCTAGTACAAACAGTTTATCAAAAGGTCTCTTTCTTTCTAATGCTGTCTTAGTTTTTCAATTCTTATCAGCTACACTTGATGCTACAGCCGCCCCCTTAGAGCTTCCCAGAGCCCAAAAAATTTAATCGTGGCTTCTACTGCCACCCAAGACCTCCTTTCTGCTGTTTATGCGGCGACAGTCGCAGCCCCCCCCCTTTTTTTTTTCTGCCCGGATGTCCGTAGCGCCCACTTTGGGAAACATTGATCTAGCTTATTCTACTTTTCAGCTGGTTTGAATTTTTTTTTTTCACTTTTGGGGCTCGTCTATTATTTACCTGGGAGTCCCCGTGGCGGAGCGGCTAGAAGCTCGTCGTGGATCGAAAGGTCGTGGGTTCGCTCCCTGGAGTAGCCGGACTTTTTTCAAAAATGACCTTGGCTCCCAGGTCGATCCAGCCTTGAGTGGGTACCGGGTGCAGTCCCGGGAAGTAGAGGCGGCCGGCGTGATGCCGATTGGTCTATATATATATATATATATATAGGTCTAGCCCTATACGCCTAAAGGCGTGGAAAAGGGTCCTTTACTGTTACTTTTTTTACTATTATTTACCTATAAATTTGACGTAATCGATTCAAGTTAGACACCTGTTGATTCAGAAAGAAGTAACCGATCACAGAAAATTAAAGTATACTTGTCAGCTGGCTTTTATTTATGTTCGCTTTTGGTGGTTAAAAAACAAGCGTTGTCATTGTCAGTGAATGATTCATCATTATACGTTTCTGAGTAGTATCTGTTTAATCCACTGTAACCACATGTGACACTTGAACACCCATCCAGTTTCTGTTATAAGTTAAGTTATAACTGCTGCATCATCGCACTCGTCAAAAATGAGTCGGGATTTAATTTGAATTTGGTCAACAAAAGCATCAGTGACATTTCGTTTATCATATTATTTAATTTAATTTAAACGATAAGGTAAACCGAACTAGAGTGGCATAAATGAGGTAGATGCCGTCTCCAAAATGAATGGTGGTTGCAGTGTATTTCAAACTGTGGCCCTTGGTGGTTGTTAAACTTAGAATTACTACTTCAAGTACTTATACTACATTTTAATTTGCCCATCACATTATTCATAATTGTTTGTCATCATCTTGTGGCAGTACCTTCACATAATGTCAGTTTATCACAGTCCACTTAAAAAGCTCTGGATCTCTCAATTCAACTGCTGGGTGGAGGGGTGGAACAATATTTTAAGCTAGGGAAAACAAGTTCACAGTAATTGACCTCCAGTTGTAGAGTTAAAGGACTGACCTGCAGTTGAAGAGTTAGAGGATTGACCTGCAGTTGAAGAGTTAGAGGATTGATCTGCAGTTGTAGAGCTAAAGGATTGACCTGCAGTTGTAGAGTTATTGCTTCATTCATCAGTCTGTCATTGCTTCATTAGCCAGGTGTATCATTGCTTAATTAATTAGTATATTCATTGCTAAATTAGCCATTATGTCATTGCTTAATTTGTTGGGTCTGTCATTGCTTGTTGACTTTGAAAACTTTTTGGCTTTCTACAAAATTTTGGGCTATCTTCCGAATAATGGTCCCAAATTATCGAGGCCGAGGCATCATACGTTCACAGGTTACTACCTAGAAGCCCAATGAACACATGATACGCCGATTTTACGTCTCTTTTGACTACTCTTTGGGCCTGTGATGCTAAACCCTCTGGGACTCAAAGAGCAAACAGGGCCTCAGTCACGTGTCAGTTACGGACTTCCACCTCAGCAGAGACTCCCACCACCACCGAGAGTATCTCCCATGCCGCTATGCGCAGCGTGGATTGGGGCTAAACTAGATGGCTGGGACTCACGAGCAAATAAAATGAAGGAAGCTGCAGGAGATGCGGTAGTTGCTGCTCATGAGTCCCAGCCATCTAGTTTAGCCCCAATCCACGCATAGCGTAGTGGGAGATACTCTCACCGTGGCGTCAGTCGCTGGAAGTGCACACTTTAAGTCGTCAGAAGTCCGCAATTGACACGAGACTGAGGCACAGTTAGGGTATATTTTCGGCCCCAATAATTTAGGACCATTATTTGGAAGATAGCCAAATTTTGTTATTATGTCATTTCTTCATCTGTTGGGTCTGTCATTACTTGTTGACTTTGAATTCTGTTTTGGCTTTCTACAGAATTGTGGGGGTCTAACCCACTGACTACCAGACCCGCTAACCCCTGCACTGTCCCACATACTTTATATTTTAGTTAACTAAAAATGCCATAGCTTGACAACTATTTACCATACACTTATCATATTTTGTATTTTTGCAACAAATTGAATAAAAAACAAATTTAAAGGCCATTATCAGTGTTTGATGTCATCATTATGTTGCTGTAGATTGGTGCAGAAAAGGCAACAGAAACATTTGCTATCTGAGACCAATTTAACTACATTCTTTTTTGTTGTTGCTGAAATAATCCTTGGTGAGAGCTCTGCCTAACTGAAATAACATTCTGCAATTTCAGTGGCTGTTTGCCACTTTGCATGAAGAATTAATGATATAGTATGACTGAACTGTCAAACTAAAAAAAAACTTTTAAAACACCCATTGCGCCCTGGTAAACATTGAGGATTGCATTGTGGAACATCTAACTTACTTAGTCACTATTATTCTACCTTGGGGTGTCGAGGTTTGCCAGAGAGATTGTCAGACTTTGTCTTGTCAGTGGACCCTGGGTTGCCCTGGATGTCTGGTTTAAAGCCTCCTATGCATGCTATGGTTACAGATTTTCTTCCATTCTGCATACATGTCTAAACCATCGTAATTGTGACTGATCTACTCGTTTGTAAGGCCTGTGTTTCAAGATCTTGACATATGCATTGTGACAATGTTTGCTAAACTCAATGCCACAGAGCCACAATCTACACTAACAGACGCATCTAAGGATACACACCTGAAGCACATGCACAAAACAGTTTACTATTGTACCATAACACCCTTACCTCTGACTCCCACCCCTTTCAGTTTCAGCTATGTTTTAGAAGGCAGTTTGCGAGAATGATCAAAGTCACAGTCATCAAACTGTTCAGAAATATCCTAACCTTAACTTTCCGACTTAGAAAGTCATGAAAATCTCCCATAGTGTCATAAATATTCCCCACACTTGTGCCAGACTAGCCATGACAATCGCAAATCATCCACCATTATCAAAACATTAGCCTAGTGCGTCACCATGGGAGCTCACCAACAAAAATTAATGAAAACATTACTTTCGGTGCTGCAGAATTGTTTTCCTTAAAGAAACAGAGAAATGAATGGAGTAATGGCTTCAAGCAAATTGGTGTCAAAAATCGTGATTTTAACCTGCATCCAAAGTTACAATCACAGGAGGGCGATCATGGTAGCCAGGCATTAACTTCGACCGATCACATACCGTGCAGTCATGCTAGTCAGTGGGTTAATATCCACATTTACTTGGTTTTGTGATTTTGGGCTTAATATCCACACATGCTTGGATCTTGATTTTATATTCAGTACCCACACGCAAATCTGTACGTTTTTTTATAGCTCATGGATCTGTGATTTTGTATTAAAAGTTTCATCAATATTATATTGTCTTGATAATTATTTTATTTTGTCTTGTTATTTTAGCCTTGTAGTGGAAAAAAAAATGAAGTTGCCATTTGGATCTACTCTAGTGACAACCCAGTGGTTGCGTGATGTCGTCAGACTGAACCTCCCAGACAAGAAAATTTTGGATGCATCTTGGCATCTCCCAAATACAGGGAGAAATGCATTATTGGAATACAATCGTTGCCATATTCCAGGTGCAGTCTTTTTCGACATTGATGAATGTGCTGACAAATCATCAGGGCTGGCCCACACTGTGCCACCAGCAGAAGTTTTTGAAGCTTATGTAGGAGCATTAGGTATCAGCAATGACACCCATGTCATTATTTATGATAATCACCCACAGTTTCCTGTCTTCTCAGCTCAGAGAGTTTGGTGGACATTTCGCTTATTTGGACATAGTAAAATTTCTGTTTTAGATGGAGGTCTTCCTAAATGGATCTCAGAAGGAGGAGAGGTCACAGATAAACTGTCATGGTTTCCCAGGAAAACATATGCGGCAAAGTTCAATCCGGGGCTTATCAAGTATTTCAAGGACATTGAGACCAACATACATAACCCAGAGTTTCTTGTTGTAGACGTCCGACCAGAAGGTCGCTTTCAAGGCATTGCAGCAGAACCGAGACCAGGTAGGAAAGTTGTTGTCTAGACATCTTTGATCATTTAAAGACAACACTTTTTTGTGTGGATCAAGTTGATTGAAGCTTATTTCCTTTTCTGCCTCATCATTGTAAAATTTGCCAGCATTAATCTTTTGTGGTGAATGTTTTACATAAGGCATTTATATTTGCTCATTGTTTGTTTATTTGTTTAAATATATCTAGTTCTGTGTGATTTAGTTTAGGTAAATGACCATGAACCCTAGATTATACATTTCAATATATTTTTTGGTAAATCACAGCAAATCTTAGATTATATGTTTAGGTATACTGCTGTGAATACTGTATTTTATTTTGATATATTTTACATATCACAGCTAATAATCTAGGATTTTCTACAGTACATCTAAATTTTAGGAAAATATGGTACAAATCGTTTAAGACGATCTCAAATGTGGCGAATTTATGTTGGGCAGAACGAGTTGTTTATCCTCTGCAATTTTGCCTGCTCGAATTCTTAGCTGGATAGGAGGAATTGCGGATAAGAACCATTTCTTGAGTTCCCGGTGAGTTTTCCTTCTCAGGTCTGCAGTGTACATAATCTCAGATATGCTGGGATCCACTAACATGTAATAATCTGTTTAAAATTCCTCTTTAGAGCAAGCATACTATGAATCTTCTGCTTGTTAGAAGATGTCTCTGATCCACAAATATTTAGGTCACTTAATCTTTTGTATACCCTCCAGGTGGATACCTAGCTTGATCATGACTGCCAGATGTCTTTCTCTTGTTGTGTACACGATCTGTAAAATCTGTTGCATGAAAAACTGATGTTCTAGAACAAAGTAAAAGTCCAGAAGTGGAGAACAATCAGAACTTTCCACCAGAATTTACAGCTGGTGAACGCAAAGTAAAAGAACAAGAAGGATCTTCATTGATTTGGGTTTCAGATGTTTGGCTAGCTGATGTGATATCATGAAGAAGCTTGCATTCACATAGTGGAATTGCTGGCAACTGATTTAGGTTGCTTTATGAATGTATCTAGGCACACCTACACAAGAAGAATATAGCATGTCACCTAGAATGAAAGTGATAAATAAGGTAGAAGAATTCAACCATGATTTACAAAAAAACAATAATTAAAATAAAAAAAAAAATCACAAAAATAAAGCAAGTAAACTACAATCAGAGAGAACGTGATAGAAAATTGACTAATAAACATGGTGGCAATATGGTACTGCTTTGACACTAGTAACTGCACAAGTCCTGGTACAATATGGTACTGCTTTGACACTAGTAACTGCACAAGTCCTGGTACAATATGGTACTGCTTTGACACTAGTAACTGCACAAGTCCTGGTACAATATGGTACTGCTTTGACACTAGTAACTGCACAAGTCCTGGTACAATATGGTACTGCTTTGACACTAGTAACTGCACAAGTCCTGGTACAATATGGCTATCATGTTAGGATGTCTGTAAATGGCCATTAAATTATTATATCTCTCTTCTTGTGGGAACCTCTGACAGATATTAAGCCTGGCTGTATACCACACTCAGTCAGTCTTCCATTCACAAAATTCTACGATTTGGACAACCGCTCAATGAAGTCGGCCGAACAACTGCAGCAGATATTTGAGGCCTCTGGGATTGATCTGAACAAAAATATTGTAGCTTCCTGTGGATCAGGTACGTGATTTTTTTTGTCTTGTGACATATTATACACAAGTATGTACATACACATAAAGCTTATATACATCAGCCTTTCTATATGCATATATTATGTATACATCAGCCTTTCTATATGCATATATTATGTATACATCAGCCTTTCTATATGCATATATTATGTATACATCAGCCTTTCTAAATGCATATATTATGTATACATCAGCCTTTCTATATGCATATATTATGTATACATCAGCCTTTCTATATGCATATATTATGTATACATCAGCCTTTCTATATGCATATATTATGTATACATCAGCCTTTCTATATGCATATATTATGTATACATCAGCCTGTCTGTATACACACAGTTTATATACCACACGTTCTATTGTTACACCAGTTAACCTAGACATGATGCCCATCATCCTGCACCCTGCCCCACCACTAAAAAACAAACTTTTAGCAACATCCAGCAAAACTGTAAACATGAGCACTTGGAGAGATATAGTAATCAGTGGCAGAATAGAATCAAACATCCATTCAGTGAAGAACTAAGAATTTCCTGACCAGATCCAACGATTGTAGAATTTCCGGTCACATATCTTGGTGACCAGATTTGATCCTCGAATTAGTGACATGCAGAATGCAAACAAGTGGCTTTATTGATAGTTTTTGAAATATGCCTCATGTGGGTATTTTTATTATTTCAGTATGATCGCAGTATACGTACTTAGTAAAATTTTGTTTTTTGTTACTAGTGCCTATTTAGCCTTTTTATGATGTCGGAACCAGACATGTAGTATTGATGATTCTGAATCTGCCTGCTAATGTATCACTGGAAGCGATAATTTCTGGATAATTAGAGATACACCGGTGAATTATATCATCATATCCCAGTAAAATAGTGAGAACGATGATAAGAGTTGGTGACGGAGATGATGTACGTACATCTGAAGAAAGAAGTGGGTGTGACACAAGAGACCAGAACATTTCTACAGCTGAAAATTATGCGTAGAAATGGAGAAAGGCTGGTGCTCAAAATGAACTTAGTTAGCTTAACAATTTTCCTCCATATAAAGAACAAGATGCCATCTCAGACACAACTGGGTATACGTCAGCTGAATTTTGTTTTCTGAAGAATAAGTAATTGAAACAGGAAAAACCATTCTGTGTTTTGTGTGACAGAAAATAATGTTGGCCATAACCCGGCATGACACTTAGAGAGTTAACATGATCTACTGTTCACTCCAATGTTGTTATGGAAAAGACAAGAAAAGTGGAATTCCTGAGAGCAGAATAATAAACAAGCCAGTTCTTTAAGAAAACACAATAAAAGTATATGGGGTGTCAATCAGTTTGGCCAGCTGGGTGCAGACTACCCTTACCCACATAGATCCTATAAATGGTACCAGCTGCTGGCCTTGCGTTCGAGAAGCTGACTGTCCAGAAAGCAATGACAAACTACTGGACGTAAATGTGTCTAACCAAAAAATTATAGGATTGGTTCTGCAATGTAACATGCACAGTTAAATAGCGGACAACTGTGCACAGTTAAATAATTGACAGCTTGGTTTTGATGTGATAAAACAGTTGACAGCTAGGCACACTTAAATAGTTGACAGCTGGGCACTAGTGTGTTTAAGCAGTTGACAGCTGATAATTCATATGGTTAAATAGTTGCCATTTGAGCAGCCATATGAGTACGATATATGGCATCTGTCCATCGAAGAGCTAGTAATAAAGTCTGCAATTTTGTGTACCAACTGGTGACTGTAAGCTATTGCAAATGTCTGTTCGAAGTGAGATCTAAGAGGTGTTTTCTTTTTTTCCAGGAAGCAAGATAACTACAGTGGAACCTCGCTTAACGAGCATAATTCGTTCCAGAATCATACTCGTTAAGCGAAACACTCGTTATGCGAAACAATTTTTCTTATATCAATAAATGTAAAATACGATAATGCGTTCCATTAAAAAAAAAATACTTACAAAGCACTATGTATAACGTTTATTTAAAGACAATTATAAATACATATTGTTAGGGAGAGTGAATCATCTTCATCTTTTTTTTTTCAAAAGCGGAACAAACCCACCTGGAATGCGAATTCGGTTTGCAGAAAAAAATGTGGAAATAATTATGATACATAGCTAATTTTTTTTTTTTTACTAGAAAGATGTCCAGAGGCATTTGTTTTTGCCGACGCTATAAAAATTTGGCGAAAATGCGACACAGCATTATCATTAAATAAATTTGCAACGCGCATAGCCACTTTCTTATTAGGGTGATGCTTCTCAATGTAAGACGAGTTTGCTATGCTTTCAGCACTTCTCTTATTTCGCCAGAAGATTGTTGCTTTTATGTTAACTCCTCTTCCTCCTCTGACAAACTTTCCTCCAAAACTTCTTGCTGTGAAACACAATGCAACTCTGTAAGCTCTTTCTTGGGTGGTCAGCTCTTGGCTGTGCTCTTCCACAAGCTCTTCGATATCACTGTTATCCACCTACTATCCTATGATAGTGGCCAAAGACACAATCTCGTTGACTACAGGTTCCACAGGTACTGTCTAGAACCCCTTAGTCACAAATCGACAACGCTCTCAGGCCAAAGCTTCTTCCAAGCAGAAATTAGGGTTCTCTAGGTAACCCCTCCCCCCGCCATGTCGATCATCTTGAGGCAGGCAACGATGTGGAAGTGATTTTTTCCAAAATTCTTTGACAGTGAGGTTGGTCCCTTCAGTCACCTGAAAATAATGCTTGAAAAGTGCTTTAGTGTAGAGCTTCTTAAAGTTAGAAATAACTTGCTGGTCCATGGGCTGGAGAAACGGAGTGGTGTTGGGAGGCAGAAACTGGATCTTGATGAACCTAAATTCTTCAGAGAAGTAATCATATAGGCCTGGAGGATTCATGTACATATATCACAATATAACACAAGTTTGAGAAAATCTGTGATCACAAACGACACTACGATGCTACTGGAACGAGTGCTAAACACCGACTGATGTAACATGCGCACAATCTGGGACTTCCCTCTCCTCGCCACTCGTTATGCGAAACAATTTGTTTTGCTTGTTATGTGAGTTACTCGTTATGAGAGGTGCTCGTTAAGCGAGGTTCTACTGTAACTAAATTTATCTTTTTTTCTGTTCCATAGGCATATCTGCCTGTTTATTGGCACTAGCAGGGCATCTGTGTAATAAAGATGACATTGCTGTTTATGATGGATCATGGACGGAATGGTTTGCCAGAGCTCCAGATAACCTGAAGAAGAATATCCCTGTATAGTTTGTTATGATTTTGACATCTGTTATCTGAACACTGATTCTGATTAATTAGATTTGTGTTATGATATTCTCATGATCTGCAGTAAGCTTTCTCATTTATTCCAGTTTTTGTTTTTTAAAGGCATATGTGCTGTTTTATATTTTTTTGGGTATTCATTAAAGCATCTTCCCTGTGTGGGTTTCAGGGCCCCATTGTGGGAAAACAAGAAAAGACCTACTGTCTCCCCAGCAAGCATATCATAGGAGTTGACTCACTGGGGGCATTCTTCAAAGTCAGAGTACATCTGTATGAGAGGCAAGGAACCAAGAGTCTGCATACAAATAAGGCAGATCTGTAAAACGGATGTTTACACTACACTCAGGTTCTGGAAAAAGACTAAAGTCTGGAGTGGGACGAACACCTAGAACTTTGCACCAGAGTTTACAACCGATGAACGCAAAGAAGATGGAGAAGATTAAGGCATCTCTTCTATTGCTTTTGTGTGCTGTGACAGTGAGTAGACCAGCAGATTCTGCTACTGTTCCAGGGACTGGTTCTTTCTCCAATCGAATATGCTTTTGCCATACTCACAGTCACCAATACTCAGTTGAAAGAGTTTATTTTTGCTTTATTATAAATTAATGTAACTCTGAGTAACACACCTGGCGAAATATGCCAGGCAATAAATTGTGCAATGTATTGTTTATGTCTGCATTATTTATGTTCATTACAGCAAAAAATTGTTTTAAATGTAATTGAAATATTAAGTGAATTGTCATTTTTTTTCCTTTAGCTTTAGCCTTGTCTGTTTTTGTATGCTTGTCTTTTGTTGCCTGCTTGTCTGTTGTTGCATGCTTCTGTTGGTTGCAGTCTTGTCTGATGTATCTGATAAGACATAATAATGAGCATAAATGAGTGGGCATAAATACATTTCTGTGTGAATGGTCTGTGCTGATTGAATGAAAGGTGAACTTTTGATATGAACTGAGAATGTTCTTGAATATTAGTGAGAACGTGGCAATTCTATACAGTTTTTACCTTATAATTACCCTGTATACAATATGCAGATGTTGAAATAAAAAATTATGTTCTGATTATTTGTTTGTCCACTTGTTTTTTTTTGCAAATGTAGATAATACCGTCCAGCCTATTGAGTGCAGCTTATTTGTACATATTTAACCAGTTTATCTGATGTATGAGAAGTACACCCCATAAAAGAACTAGAGGGAATGGCAGACTTGGAACCTTTTGGACAGAATGGAACTAAAAACGGTCACTGTGAAAACAATCAAAAGTTTGGGAACAGATTGACTGGGCCAAACATATTTGACAGAGAATCAAAAACCGATTTTTTTCAAGTATCCAGAAGCCATGAGTTGTTAAGCCTTAGGCTCAGGATTATAAATATCGCAACCCTTCGGCCTTGATTCCATGATAAACACTGTAAATCTGGAAGAAATGTGGCTTTTTTGCCCTACCCCGGGCGTGAACCCAGATCACAAGGAGTTCGTCAACCGGTCACTGCGCAATCCGATTTAGCCAACTATGCTAGCGAGCCGGGCACCGATTTATAAAAAACAGCTGAAAGTGATTACGAATGAGAAACCAACAGATATATCACAAAGTTATATATTGCATGAATCATGAATGAATTTTCAAAGTCAATGAAGTTCAAGGCTGAAAGTTACAGAAATGAGCTCTGAAAAAAAAGCCAACCCTAACATTAGGGTTTGGGTTGGCATTAGGGTGAAGGTTAGGGCTGTGGTTAATGTTAGGGTTATGGTTAGTATTTAGGGGTAGGAGTATGTTTGGGGTTAGGGGTAGGTTTTGGATTAGGTTCAAGATTAGGTGTTAGAATTAAGAATAGAGTTGATTTTAGGGTTAAGACTAGGGTTAGGTTTACGTGTAGTGTTAGCTGTTAACCTCTGTAGTAATTTCATGTCGTTTACCACTCTAGTTATTTCAGGTTGGTTTAGTTCTCTATAGTTTTCTTCATGGAGGCTTACCTAACTAGTAATTTCAAGTTTGTTTTACTATGTAGTTATTTCCAGCTGGTTTATCTCTGTATAGTTATGTCAAATTGGCTTACTTCTCTGTTTATTTCAAATTGGTTTTGTTTCTTGGCACCCCTCTGTCTTTCCAGATGATAGTGTTATATTGCGCTATGAAGAGGCATGGGACTCACAGCCCATGGCCATGGTGAGTGTGACTAGCAAGACCCACCCACTTTAACAAAAGTCTTCCACAGTTATTGCATGAGATTTTAGGACTGTTGTTGCCAACATTTGTGTTTAGTGTGTTTCTTCTCAGACACTCAACTTTTATCCTTTCTGCAATCATTTCTTCCTTCAGTCTCATTCCCTTCCTGATGTGTCCCTTCCAGGCAACACAAGTATATGACATTTTGTTCCCACAGGTCATGCTCAATACTTGTATCATTCATGTCCCTCTTGTACACATCTTTATATCGCAGTAGAGGTCAGCTTCAACATCTTCTACATATCTATAATTCACCATGTCCTTAGTGACTATCTCATCTTCCATTCTCCAGCTATGACGCAGTCACCTAAGTTTTCGTTGACTAAACATTTTGCTTTCAAAAAATTACCTTAGCTCCCTGGTCGACCCATCCTTGAGTGGGTACTAGATACAAGTCCTGGGAAGTAAAGTTGGCCTGCGTGATGCTGACCACATCACCCACCAAGTGCCGATAGTTCTATAAAAGATAGCTCTAGACATACATGCCCAATACACCTGAAGTCGGGCAAAAGGGTCATCTAAAAGATGATGAGATAGGAAAATTAAGAACAAAGTTTATCATAAAGGTTGCTAGTGAACGAGTTAATAGAGACACTAAAAAATAAAACAGTTTCCAAGGGGGAAGACATTAGCTATTGAGTTTAGTGTTGCAGCAGTGTGAACTGTGTTTTTCATCTGGAATGCATTTCATTTGTGCAGCTGTCGAGTTGTGGTATTCAATATGGTTTACCTGCGGGCTGGTTAAATATCTTATATCAGCGGTTCTCAACCTGTGGGGCCGAGTCACCCTTTCACAGACCACCGGACAACACACATCCACTGAAGTTATGAAGTAGCAACGAAAACATGTTATGGTTGGGTGTCACCACAACACGACGAACTATATTAAAGGTTCGCGGCATTAGGAAGGTTGAGAACCACTGCCTTATACAATAATTTCACGTGTGTAGAGCAAACTTATCGTGTCCAACTACTTCCATCAACGGCAAACTGATTTTCTGGTGGCCACTGTTGGCTTTGTCGCCTCTAGCAACTGCCATATGCATTTACTGTGTCCGCATATTTCTGGATTGTGCCGGGACTAATTGTTTACCACCTTTTTTTTTTTTAAATTGACAGTGATGGACGTTTCATTTGATTTTTACTGGCACAGGAACGGAACAAGTATGGGGTGACACGATTGGAGGAAGTTGAAACTTCGACTAAGATAAGAGACACAAGAATGAGGATGAGTGTTAGTTTGTCTCACTCCACCTATAGTTACTAGTTAGTTGAAAACAGATCCTACTCATACTAGACATCAGATTACTTCGCAACCGTTGGATAACTCAATATTATTGTGTTAGCGACTGAGCGGAGTTTCCAGGATTGCCGCTCTTGTATTCACATCTGAATAATGACTGTTCCTTGAATCACTATTTCTCGGTGTGGGTTCTGGAGCCTCTCCAACAAGCGTGTCGTAAGAGTCGACTCATTTGGGGCTTTCTTCGAAGTCAGAGTGCATCTGCCTAAGTGGCAATGAACCAACATTCTGCTTACAAATGTACCAGATCTGTAAAACGGATATGGACGTAACACTCAGGTTCTGGAACAAGACAAGATTCTGGGGGTGGACGAACAACCAGAACTTTCCACTTTGTTTACAGCCGGTGAACGCGAAGAAGAAAAGAATCACCGATTGTGAACTTGCAGACAGCAATCCCTGTTAAATTATAATAGTCGTAATCAAGTCTTTTTTTTTTTCCTTTCTAGACAAATAGGTGCTGGCACTCACAACGAAAAGTCTGAAAGGTGCCAATGCACACACAAGGTGTCTGTTACAGCAGAACTTAAAAGGTGCATGTACTTCGTACCGTTGCATACTGCCAAAAAAAAAAAAAACTCAGGCAATAATAATAAAAAATAAACAAACATTTTGAATGGGAAAAAACTGCAATAATTACAATGCAAGGAAATAAAATGTGGGTTATATCCACTACTCCAAATACATAGAAGCATGTGTCCACATGTACACACCTCGACGATTGTGTACACATACTTTAAATGGTAATGGTTACAGTTATGCTCTGTCAACATGGTGTGCAGGTCAGTCATGTAGAAACTATGCATCGAAAGAGATTTGACTGGGTAGCCAGGTGTTGTAGCCTGTACGACATCCCGACCTTCCACTGATTTACTCTGTAGGCAGATAGGTAGGGGGGTAAGTGGGCAGGTAGGTAGGAAGGTAAGAAGGTAGGTAGGTAAGTGGGCAGGGAAGTAAGCAGACAGGTATGTAGGCAGATAAGTAGGCAGGTAATAAGTTACCTAATATAAGTCAAAGACAGTTGTCGCTTAAATGTGTTCCATACTAAGAAGTTGTGTTTAAAAGTATGAAGTGTTAAGGCCTGAATAAGTTACACGAGAGACATCATAGGGCTGCTGGCTGCAGACTTATAATCGGGATACCGTGAGTGAATGTTGCAGTTATCATCCACTAAAGAATGCAAGAACAGTATGTTGTTTCTAAAGTGACAAAGAAACCATGGCCAGTTTCCCAGTGCCCAAAGAGTTAAATAATTTCAGTGTTAGGAAGGGCTTTTAAAGTTGGAGCTAGGGTCAATGTACGCGGGGTGGGGGGGGGGGGGGGGGGGTGGGGGTCAGTACCGACAACTGCTTAGGATGTGTGTCAGGTTTCTGTTTAACTTGAGAGATCGGGTTAGATTTAGGGTCAAGGTTAGGATGAATTCTCTCACGCAGAGCACGACATTTCATGTCTGTTACCT